CAATGCGGGGAGGTCGGGCATTTGAAGGTGAGTTGCCCACAACTTGGGCGAGCCATGGGGGCCGGACCAAGCAGTGGAACGACGGTGAGCAGGAACCGAACCGGAGCACCAAATGCTAGCGGTGGGCACGGTGGGGCGAGTGCCAGCAACGCGCCATCCGTAAATCAAGGAAGGATCCAAGCTCGGGTCTATGCTATGACGGAGGCGGATGCTCGTGCCAACCCGGACTCCGTTGCGGGTAATTCCTTAAACTCACGTATTAATTTTCATAAACAATAGGAGTGTGGAACTTGTAAAATTATAACCCCGACGAGTTTGGTCGGGTTTGAGGGGGAAAAGGGGAGGAAAATCCTCGCCCTGGGCGGATGCCGCCCGGCATTGACGAAAGCCGCCCGGCTTTCGTCTTGATTTATTGGAACAAAAACTACGGCAACGAATGTCGGCCGGCTTCCACCAAGAGCCGCCCGGCTTTCATATATATTAAATCAGCAATTGTCCTCGCAAACGAAAACCGGCCGGCTTTCGCAGAAACCGGCCGGCATTTGGAACATTTATTCCGGAATAACCTGCGGCGCTCAAAGGCGCCCGGCTTTGGTGAAAGCCGCCCGGCTTTCGCTAGGCCTGGGGATTCCTGCGCTGCTGAAACCCGGCCGGATTTCGTAGAAACCGGCCGACCCTGAAATCCATTCCCTGAGTAAAACTACGGCGACGAAAACCGACCGGCTTTCGTGAAAGCCGCCCGACTTTCGTAATTCTCATACATGGATTTTTCTCGCAGATGAAAACCGGACGGCTTTCGTGAAAAGCGGCCGGCTTTCACCTAGTTGGGTCCTAGAACAGTCCTAAAGGCTAGAAACCGGGAAATTTCGGAAGGGTATCGAACGGACTCCACCCGAAACATGACCAACATACTCTACGACTTAAGAAACAAGCCTATTGATTAGATAGTGTGTCTTACATTACTTATGAATGTAGGAACACTAAAGATAAACGGGAGAGACGCAAGGATCCTTATTGATACCGGGGCGCAACGATCATTTGTGAGTGAGGCGTTCGCCAGCGGATTCAACGGATCACTTGTACCGATGACTCAAACCCTATTGGTATCCACGCCTCTAGGGGATGATATCGAAAGGGATAGCCACTATCCATCGTGTGAGGTGGAGGTGGAGGGACAGAACTTGACGTGTGACTTCGTACCGCTGAGCATGATCGAGTTCGACGCGATCCTCGGGATGGATTGGCTAGAGAAGCATCATGCTAGGGTTGATTGTTATACGAAGGTTCTCGAACTCGAAAGCGGTGAAGATTAGACCTTACGCTTCGAGGGAGATAGAGGCAAATCAAACAGTTGTATCATATCCGCCGTGAGAGCGAGGAATATGATGAGAAAAGGATGCCACGCATATCTAGCTTATGTGGTGGACAAAACCAAAGAAGAGGTAGACATCAACGATGTGAGAGTTGTGTGCAAGTATCCGGATGTCTTCCCAAAAGACTTGCCGGGGCTTCCACCCGATAGGGAGATTGAGTTCGTGATCGAGGTTGAACCCGACACCAAACCAATCTCTATACCGCCATAAAGAATGGCGCCCGCTGAACTTAACGAGTTGAAAACCCAATTGCAAGAGCTATTGGATAACGGTTTCATAAGGCCGAGTCACTCTCCATGGGGAGCACCGGTCCTTTTCGTGAAAAAGAAAGATGGAACACTTCGAATGTGCATTGACTATCGTCAACTGAACAAGGTCACAATCAAGAATAGGTATCCCTTGCCTAGGATTGATGACTTGTTTGATCAGCTCCGAGGAGCGACGGTGTTTTCGAAGATTGACTTGAGGTCGGGGTACCACCAACTGAAAATAAAGGAGGATGACATACCGAAGAGTGCATTCCGCACAAGGTATGGTCATTTCGAGTTCCTAGTTATGTCGTTCGGGCTAACCAACGCCCCGGCGGCATTTATGGACTTGATGAACCGGGTATTTCATAAATACTTGGACCAGTTTGTGATTGTGTTCATAGATGATATCTTGATTTACTCGAAGAGTGAAGAAAAGCATGAGGAGCACTTGATACTTGTTCTTGAGACACTACGGGAGAAGCAACTCTATGCCAAGTTTTCCAAATGTGAATTTTGGCTAAGGGAGATTGGCTTTCTCGGGCATGTGGTTTCGGGATCAGGGATTGCCGTAGATAACAAGAAGATCGAGGCCATTACTGAATGGGAGAGGCCAAAGAACGTCAAGGAAATTCGTAGCTTCCTTGGATTGGCAGGGTACTACCGAAAATTTGTGGAGAAGTTCTCAGTTTTGGCATCGCCATTGACAAAGCTCACTCGAAAGGCGGCCAAGTTTGTATGGGATGACCGATGTGAGAAGGGATTCCTTGAACTGAAGAAGAGATTGACCGAGGCACCGGTACTCGCACTACCCAAACAGGGTGTGGGGTACGATGTCTACAGCGACTCAAGCATCCAAGGGCTTGGATGCGTCTTGATGCAGAATGGGAGGGTGATTGCCTATGCTTCACGACAGTTGAAGAAGCATGAGGTAAATTATCCCACTCATGACTTAGAGCTGGGGGCGGTGGTGTTCGCATTGAAGATTTGGAGACATTGTCTCTACGGGGAAACATGTCATATATACACCGACCACAAAACCTGAAGTACGTGTTTACTCAGAAAGAGTTAAACATGAGACAGAGACGGTGGATGGAGTTGATAAAAGACTACCATCTAGTTATCGAGTACCACCCCGGTAAAGCCAACGTGGTAGCGGATGCCTTGAGCCGAAAGAATTCATCTGGGGCATTATTGACTAGCTTGAGGGCATTGAGAGCCCAATTGGAGGTATCTAGCGATGGTGCCTTGTTAGCTAGATTCGAGGTGAGACCTACATTACTTGATGAAATCAAGAAGGGTCAAGAAACCGACGAAGAACTTATGAAGATCCGTGAACGCATGCTAGCGGGACCGGTTGAGGATTTCAGGGAGAGAGACGATGGTCTCTTATTATTTCGTGACCGAGTGTGTGTACCGTTAAATGATGAGCTCCGAAAGTCCATCTTAGAGGAGGCTCATTCATCGGTGTATGCCATGCACCCGGGAGGCACGAAGATGTACCGTGATTTGAAGAAAAGTTATTGGTGGTCGGGTATGAAGAGGGAAATAGCCGAGTACATCAGTAGGTGTCTTACTTGTCAGCAAGTTAAGGCAGAACATCAGCATCCGGCTGGGTTACTACAGCCACTTTCCATTCCTGAATGGAAGTGGGAGCACGTAACTATGGATTTCGTGGTGGGGCTGCCACGGACGATTAAGAACTATGATGTCGTATGGGTTGTGGTCGATAGGCTCACAAAGAGTGCACACTTTCTACCTATCAACACCACCTATGCACTGGAGAGGTTAGCCAAGTTGTATGTGGATGAGATCGTGAGGCTACATGGGGTTCCTATAACCATTGTATCCGATAGAGATCCGCGATTCACATCACGATTTTGGCCGAAGTTCCAAGAATCTATGGGGACAAAGTTGAAATTTAGTACAGCTTTTCATCCACAAACGGATGGGCAATCTGAGCGGGTTATACAGATATTAGAGGATATGCTGAGAGCCTGTGCATTGGAGTTCCGAGGGAGTTGGGACAACCATTTGTCACTTGTGTAGTTTGCCTATAACAACAGTTATCAGGCGAGTATAGGCATGCTCCATACCAGGCATTGTATGGAAGGAGATGTCGTACACCGTTGTGTTGGGATGAGGTTGGCATGGCCAAACTCGAGAGCACGGAATTAGTGGAGATCACCGAGTCTAAGGTGAAGATGATTCGTGAGAGACTTAAGGCGGCCCAGGATAGACAGAAAAGCTATGCCGATAAGCGCCGAAGAGCCTTAGAGTTTAAGGTGGGAGATGAAGTATTTTTGAAAGTTTCACCTTGAAAGGGAATCATCCGATTTCAGAGCCGAGGGAAACTTAACCCACGATACATAGGGCCATTCGTGGTCCTTGAGAGGATTGGGGCCGTAGCATACCGATTACAGTTGACTCCAGAATTGGAGAAGATACATAACGTATTCCATGTGTCCATGCTTAAGAGGTATATGCCGGATCCATCTCATGTATTAGAAAAACCACCCGTGGAAATACGGGAAGACTTGAATTATGTCGTGCAACCGGTGAAGATACTTGGCAGGCAAGTCAAGAAATTGAGAAGCAAGAAAGTCCCAATGGTTAAAACCCTTTGGAAAAGTGACCGAGTTGAGGAGGAAACTTGGGAAACGGAAGCTTTGATGAAAGAGCAATACGCGTTTTTGTTTGAATGAACATTGTGAATTTCGGGGACGAAATTCCCGTTAAGGGGGGGTGAACTTGTAACACTGACTCCGAGCATATTTACTTTTAGTAAATTATGTAATAAACCTTGAAGGATGATTTATGAATTTGCGTAATTGTAAATTTTTATTATTTCTTTTACGTGAATAGTAAATTGCATGTGGGGCCCACGGTGGGAACGTGGACCGCCTGATAATTCCCGAACCACATATTATATTCATCTTGGTCTAGATGACACCTATATGGGGTTGTATATTCTATTTGGGCCCTAAGAAAGGCATGGAGTTGACCGGTTGGTCAAACGGGGCTCAATTACCGGTATTGGCAATTTAACGGATAACAGCCCGAAATGAGTTTCGGAGACTCCTAAATTAATATTGGGGAATATACATCTATTATAAAGGCCCATAATTATTAGGAACACGTGATATATTTTATTTGGCCCGATAAAATAAAATATGATTAAAACGGACTGAGAAATACAACTTTCGGGGCCGATTGTACACAACGGGACGTAATGGGATGACCTCCCACATAAGTGGGGGCCACCCCACGTTTTTATGGGTGCTGATTGATCAAATAATGGGGGAGGGGAGGAGCTAAACGTGCTGGTACGCACAAGGGAGAGGGAGGAAGTCTCCTTTGAGACAAAAACCCATGCTAGGGTCCTATCCCACACAAATCATTGTGTTGGTTGAAAAGGACCTCTCCCCTACCCTCTCTTCAATCCATTCGGCCAGCACAAGGGAGATAAGGTCCAGGGAAAAGGCTCTCAAAGTTATGGAGCTGAAGAAACCAAGAGGAGAGAAGGATCCAAGAAGAAAAGCTAGAAGAAGAGGGTAAGAACACAATTTCTACTCTTTTAACTAGTTTTATTGTGCATGATTTTTAAGAAATCATATGGTGGATTAAATCATGAGTTCTACACGTTTAAAAGTGTAGAATATTGATATAAAGTTGTGGTAATTAACTTAGGAGGGTTGGCCAATCGATAGGAGTCGAAACCGCCGGAAACCGCCACTTCAAAGGAGCTAGTCGTAGTTGCAGACCACGAAAGCCGCCCGGCTTTCGTGAAAGCCGCCCGGCTTTTGCCCGGCAGTTCAGTTCTACACCTTCAATCGGCCTAGAACGGGGATTGATCGAGGGGCTTAGCAAATGCAACTATTTCAGCACTTCATAAGGTGAGGATGGCTGACTATATTGCTTATAATTAGTGTGTTAATTTCATGAGATTACCGAAGGTAATTAAATGTGTTTTTATGGATTATTAATGATTAATAATGCCTAAAAATGAAAATACTAAATGTCTAGAGAAAAAGGAGCATGATATACAAATTTAGGAGTAAATTGTGTATGTTCATGTGTTATGAGTATGTTGACTTGAAAGTGGAATTTATTATGAAACATGTGTTGAAATATACTTTTTTCTTCATATTAGAATATATGAGTGATTAAAAGTGATATTTTGGATATTGAGATAAATGATATTTTCAAAGGAAAATCAGTTGGAATTGTCTATATGACTATGAGTTGAGAACTTGATTTGTTGATATTAATTTGACTAGTATTAAGATACTAGTTGGACATTAAAATGAAATGTTGTTAAGATTGATCCTAAGGTTGGATTGTGAAATGTTATGCCTTAAGTAGTCTTAAGAGATGCTTTAAGGTAGGAAAGTATGAACTCTAAGTTATACTAGGGGTAGGCCTTAAGGGATACCCAAGATAAAGTAAATAATAAATTGATCCTAAGTATAGGATTGGCCTACGGGTGTGTTCGGTAGTCCTTGTGGATAGCCGGTTGAATTATGGAAATAGTAAGGACCATGGCCCTTCCCGACTCTAGAGAGCGGGGTTGGATAGCATCGACTTACATCGTGATCACAGGTTAGGGTGGAATCCGAATCGGAGACCTAACTAGGTTCCGGTAGCGGTAACACATAAGATAGGACCCCGAAGGGCCTTACCTTCCTACAGGATGATGGGTATGAGTCCAGGGGCGGGATGTTGGAGTCCGAACCGGGAGCCCCATGAGGTCTCGGACAGCGGTAGCAAGTCCCGTAGAAATAATAAGACCCAAGGGTTGGGTTGTGCAAATGATAAATGAAAAGGAACATATAAGAAGGGCCGTGTGCCGACAAATAAATAAATTTACTTATTATAAAGATAATAAGTGGGAAATATAAAGTATTATTTATATTATGATATCACCCTATTTTGAGGGTCTTGGGAATTAAAACGTTGATTATACTTAGTATAGTTGCTATTGTACTTGTCAAATATTTCCAAGTACTGACCTCCCCTTCACGGGGGAGGCCACCTCACAGTTTCAGGTAGGACTTGAAGGTTGCTACCGGTGCCCGTTGCTCGGGATATTCAGAGGAGAAGACGTGGTTCGTGCTTCTTCTGTTTCATGTTTTCAAAACAATTATAACAATGCTCATGGATATTATTTTGAATAACTATTTGGGGGCTTGCATGCCCATGTTTGCCAAAGTGTGGCTAGGACACTTTTATTAAATGCTTCCGCTGTTTTTAATGAATGTTTTACATTATGTTTGTTTATGGATGTACTATGTGTGAATGATATTTATGACGCCTTGTATAGTATGGATGAGTTGGACTGCGGTTGACTATTCGTACTGTACGGCGGGTTGTTGACATGTCCGGCTAGGTCCGGGGCGTGACAACAAGGCTCTCACAATCATTCGAAGGCTCTTAACTCATACATCTGGAGGGATCCACTAGTCGATGGCTCAACGTCTAAGTTACGCTCAGAAAATTTTCTAAGTCCTAAATGCTTTGCCCCCGGTCACCTCATGAAGGCTACACAGAATCAGAGGGAAGGAATTAGCCAAGGGCCAAGTGATGAACAACACTTAGAAAAAATTGGTTTTTTAAGTCCTGAACATTTGGCCCTCGGTGAAATATTCAGATGACTAAAGGGACCTAGTAGCCGAAGGCTACGGGATGCACTATACTTAGGAAAATATTTTCTAAGTCCTAAAAGTTGGCCCCTCAGCCAAATTACCGTACAAGAATACATTCATACACAAAGGAAAGAGATGACGAAGGCATACATTCAAAAATAAAAACATATTATATACAAAAGCCCAGAGGCATCAATTCATCAAAAATATAGGGCAGGGTGTTCATAAGGGCCGGAGCCAAGAGTTAACAATGTTATTACAAAGGGGTATCACGAGTTGTTCAGAGTACAAATTACAAATTGGCAGCTTCACTGTCGGCCCCTTCGGCGGCTTTGGAGGAGACCTCTTCCCTGATGGCATCATCGTCATCTCCGCCCATCATCATAGAGTCATGAATAACCGGCCTCTCTTCGCCCGAGGGGAGGGGTACTCTCACATCAGGTTGCAAGGGGGGAAGGCCGTATACTGCCGGATCAAATTGCTCGAGGGGAACGCCGAAGTGTCTGGCAAGCCTCCGGTAAACCAGATGCTGGGTGAAGAATTCACCCCCTTGATAGTAGATGTCGCCCTTTTCCGCCATCCAGTCGGCTCCGAGGCCCTTCACCCAGCTATCCACCGAAGACTCGACAACCGAGGCCACCCACTACTGCCGCTCCTCGGTCTTCCAGCCCTCAGCCATGAACGCAGCGACGACATCCTCTCGAGCTTTGGCGATGGCTTCGGCCTTGGCAGACTCTGCCTCCTCAGCAGCTTTCTTGGAGGCCTCGGCGGCGACCCTCTCGGCTTCAAGTCTGGCCTCCTCCACGGCAGCCTTCAGCCTCTGCTCAGCCCCCTCGGTAGCCTTCCGAAGGTTCTCCTCCAGCTGAGCCATATGCTTCACAACATCAGAGTTCTTGAGGATGAGCTCCTTCATCTTCTGATCCTGCTCCGCCTTGTGGAGGTGCCACTGCTCAAGCCTTTGCGCATGCTCCTCGAGGGCTATGAAAGCCTGTTAAACAACGAACAGAAGAGTTAGATGAATGTTGGAAATGTATTAAATGTTAAAACAAGGACAAGGGAAAAAACTTACAGTTAGAGAAGATCGGAAGATCTTGCTCTCGAGGGCCTCATCGTCGTAGGTCGAGAGGGCCGCCTTATCCATCACCGAAGTGACCCCCCTCATGAAAGCCTTCGGTTCGGCCGAGCCGTGCATCACGGAAGCTACCGGAGCCAGGGAGAGTTGCAGAATCTCTCGGGGGAAGCCTCCTGGGGGAAGGTCCGTCTGAGCTGTCGCCACTGTGACAACCGGGGGCTCGGGAGAGGAGCGATCCTCTATGATCACTAAGGGGGCCGCCTAATCAGCAACATCCCCGGGACCTCTCTGCTTCTTGACAGGGGGTTCTACCCCCTTGCTGCTCTTCTTCTTCTTCGTGCCCCCCCCCCCCCCCCCCCCCGGCCACATCAGCAACGGTAGCCACAACGGAGGGCTCCGGTATCTCCTTCCGAAAGAAGGCCTCAACGGGCTGTTGGACCGAAGGGTCCTTCTTCTGAGCCTGGGCCTTGCCATTTTTCTTCTTCAGGGCGAAGAGTTTCCCTGCATCCATATTCACGCCTGCAAACAACAAAAAACAGTTAGACCGAGGGGTAGAAAGCGTGAACAGGCAATCAAAACAAAAAACAAAAAAAATCCCGAGTACAAAAACTCAACGCCCTCGGCACCAACCTCCAGCTCCCTCGAAGGCTCTGTCCAACTCGGGGTACTTCTCGTCGGTCTCCCCAAGAAAACGATACCGCCGAAACCCGAGGGCATGCAAATCCTTCTCTAGGGTGCACTCTTTGATGGCTATATTTTTGTCCCGGCCCTCCGGGATTTTTGACAGGATCAGGCCGTTTTTCTCGAGGGCAGCACTCCTGATCTTTGGATGCCGACGGAAGCGGTCCCGCAGCTCCCTCGGGAACGGGCACTCGTCCAAATTCACGTAACACCATCTATCCTTCCACCCTTTGTTAGAAGAGGGCGCCTCTGTGAACAGCTTGAACTGGGATACCTGTTGAAGATTCGCAAACCCCTCGGCGTTCGCATGCCCCCCCCCCCCGGCACAAGTTGAAGCTTTGAAAGAATAACTCCAAGCTGGGTGTTACCCCCCAGGACTTGCAGAGATGGAGAAATCCGGCTATGTACGAATGGCTGTTTGGTGTCAGTTGACAGGGGACCAGGCCAACGTACCTAAGATATTCCCGAAGGAATGGATGCTATGGGAACCGAAGGCCCATGGTGATCGAGAGGATATGCACCGCTATACACCCTTCGGGAGCCTGGGAGAGGAGGTCATCTGGTCCCGACATTATTACAGTACCCGAGGAGCCCACATGCAGTTGTGTGACATAACACTCCGCCATGTCAGCCTTCGACTTGATCTCGAGGGCGGCGGTATTTAAGAAGGAATAGCCCTCGGGCAGATCGATGGGCCTTCCCTAGTCAGCAACGCCACCCTTCTTCTTGGGAACGACAGCCTTCGTTTTCTTCTTCTTCCCGGGGGCAACCCGGAGAGGTGCCGGGTTCAATGGCCGAGAGGTGCTGGCTTCACCGGCATCGTGAGGGGGGAGAATTGCGACAGTCACCCTCATTCTCTCCTTCTCCTCTTCCTCCTCCGCAGTCTGCACAGTGAGGGCGAGCTCCTCATCCTCGATCACCTGCTCGAAATTCTCGGCTTCAGCTTCGGTAACGAGGACCTTCTGCATCTCCACAGCCACAGCAGCATCGTCACCAGTCGAGGGCTCGCTTATGGATTCCACATCGGAAACCACTTCATCATCAATCGAGGGCTCCCTCGAGATGTCTTCTGAATCGCTTTGGGATGACATTTCTTACACTAAGGTAGAAGGGTTTCTAAAACCGAGGGCTTCCTAACCAATCCTAGCACTTAACCTAAGGTAGGAAAGACTAAGTATGCAGCTGAAGGAAAACCGAGGGAAGAACTGACCTTGAGAACTTGGTTTGACCGAAGGGGATTTTCTCTCTCTAGAAAATTTTTGCCAGCACTTCGTTGCAACAAGAATGCGTAAAGGGGAAATGGCCTGGCCTTGTGGTATTTATAAACACCCAGATCCGGGCTTGGGCCCAAAAATCGGGCCTCCGGTGGAAAAATCATCATTACATATCGTCGTTTCACCCAATCAGTGACGCCCGCCCGCGGGCAGCCAACGGCCACGTGCCACGTGTCCTCCCCCTCCAATGGTCATATTACAACGGCTGTATTCAGGGAACCCAGGGGCACGCCCTCGGCAGACCACTCCTTCATCAACCAAAAAACTAGCCCTCGGGCTTTCTCCTTCACTCCACTTAATCAAGAGGAGCCCGCGGGTACACTTATCCAGATGTGCTCCCGGCCTATGTCCCTCATAATACATCACAAGTGCCTTCAGGCTCATTTCTTCAAAAGCCCACGGCTTCACAACGGGCACACCCCTCGGGAACACTCATCCCTCAAACACATTGAGGACCACATAACCCCCGGGGAGCACACCTTCATCAACAGTTACCCCCGGCTATGCAACAAGGAAACCCCCCGGGGTACCACGGCCCTCAACTTATCAACAGACAGGGGACCCCTCGACAACACAGGAAATATCACCTACAGTCACCGCGCCCTCATTCCCATGAACTGAGGGCTCCCCTTCAGCATCTCCCAGGATATCAACAAGCTCCCCTTCGGCAAAGCAACACACGCGCCCTCAGACAAGGACAGCCTTCGACAAGAATACTGCCACACATTTCCGACCACGGTTTCACCTTTTCGATTCATCATTGGGGGAATTCGGTGCACTCTTTTTCCCTCATTAGAATAAAAAATAAAAATTATAACATTTGTTATTAGCTGCATTACTATTGTACTCATTAACATATTTGTTAGAATTTAATATTTCTTATATTTTTTAAGATGGAACGTGGTAGACATTCTGTAGATTTGGGTAACCCCATTCACAACCGAAGGAAGGAAGTTGGGAAGAATCATCCTAGATTCCTAGTTCACACAAAGGTAAAGGACGTGCCAGGTCTTCTTCTCAAAGCCGAGATGATTTTGAAACGGATTACCAACGGGGAGATACGGATTATATGACCGACGAGCAAGTTGCCCCCCAACTATTGAACCAACAACATGAGCACTTTTACCGACAACATGACATCCCCGAGGTTGAAGATGAGCTCGAGGATGAGGATGCAGAGGAGGATTCGGTGACGGCCGAGGGCGAGGGTCACAACACCCCGGACGATGAGGAAGAGGTCGAGGCTGAGGACGAGGTTGGTTCATCCCAACCCGGTAAGAAATCTAAAACTAAATCTTTAATTATCGAAAATACTTTTGATAAGAAGGACAAAAACCTAGAAATGGTACGCGCATTGCAAGCATTGCCCCAAAATTTATAGCTTGAGAATTTTCGGAGGATATGGCAATTGTAAAAGTCATCTTATGTCCACTCACCCCACGGAGTATGCGAAAAAGACAAAAGCAAGATGAAGCAAACTCAAATATCGAGGTCTGGAAGTGGCTAACCCTTTGGTTGGTCTTGATGTTTAGGAGGGGTTTGGGAGGATTGGGGGGTGGAGGGTGGGGGGGGGGGGGTCAGGGATAGGTAGGTAAGCAAAAAAAAAAATCAACCAAGCCCGAGACCCAGCCCGGCCTAGACCGGACCCAGTGGCTACCTGGGCCAGTCCCAGGTCCACCTATTCAAACCCGCTGGCCCGCCCGGGCCTAGACCCAACCCAGACATGACCCAACCAGAATCGACCCCTATGGCTAGGTATGGACTCGGGTCCGGGCCGGGTCCAGGTCGAGCCTAGGCCCGAGCGGGCCGGCGGGTCAGAAATGGTGGACCCGGGACCGGCCCGGGTAACCACCGGGTCCAGTCCAGGTCCGGGTCGAGCCGAGCCGGGCCCATAATTTTTTTTTTGTTTTCCTCTTCCTAATTAACCCCCCTCCCACCCCAACCCCCCAAACCATCCCAAATGGCCCAAAATACCCAGCCCAACCCGAAATTTTAAAAAAATTGAAGAAAAAAAAATAGTTTTTGGCCCGAACCGGATCTAGCCGGGTCGGGCCTTGTTTTGGGTGACCCGAGCCCGGACCGGAAAACCCACGGGCCGGGCCTACCCGGACCGGTCACTGACCGGGCCACCGGGTCGGGCTAGGCCGGAACAGTACCGGTCCCGGGCTGGTTCCGGATCGGGCCACCCGGCCCGTGTCCATATCTACCTATGGCAGAGATTTCGATTGATCATTATTTATTAGAAAATGTATTTCATGTTTTAAATATTTTCTAAATTCTCAATTGGGCTACATATTTAAAATAAATATACTTTAACCTTTTCATATCCAACAAATCTTGAATTAATTTGTAAAAAAAAAAGTTACCCATACCCGACCTGACCCGACCCAAACCTGACTTGCTACCCGACCGGGTAGCCCGGCCCAAGCTGGTAGCTACCCGGGCCAGTTCCATGCCTCAAGAAACCAAAAAATGCCCAGTCAGGACCAGTCCAAGGCCAAGCCCGGACCATCCTGAGTCCAAGCCTAGACAGTGGCCCTTTCTAGTTTCAATAATAATATAAGGAAATACTTTCTTGATAAAAGAACTGGATCAAAAGGAGTAACATGAAGATCAATACACTACATTAGATATGGACTCAGGCCGGGTGGCCCAACCCGGGACCGGTACTGTTCCGGCCCGAACCGAACCGGTGGCCCGGTCAGTGATCGGTCCGGGTAGGCCCGACCCGGTGGGTTTCCGGTCCGGGCTCGGGTCACCCATAACAAGGCCCGACCCGGTTCAGGCCAAATTTATTTATTTTTTTTGGTTTTTTTCATTTGTTAGGGCTCCACCGGGTTGGGCTTGATGTTTAGGAGGGGTTTGGGGGGGTGGGGGTGAGGGGGGTCAGGGATGGCTAGCTAAGCAAAAAAAAAAAAAAAAAACCAAACCCGAGGCCCGGCCCGGACCCGGTGGCTACCCGAGCCGGTCCCGGGTCCAGCTATATAGAACCGCCGGCCCGAGTCCGACCCGGCCCGAGTACAACCATACACTACATTATAAGGATCTATTGTAAGAACGTAAGGTACCTCAATCAGACAAAACAAGCATGAATCTAAGATCATAATGTTAAGTATCTGGGTAATTCATGAGTTTTGAACAAGCATATTCTTCTATAAACTAGAAAATACAAACTCACTTTTGCCCAATTAGATCATAAATAGAGCAATTTAATTGTGAGATGATAAATAGCTCTAACACTACTAAACATCTAACAAACACAGTTTGATTAGCCGCCAATAAATTCAGAAAGATAAATAGCTCGAGTGTATGGTCAAGCACACATCGTCACAAATTTTGTGACTGTATAAAGTCACTAGCTTGTGTGTTGTTGGTGCTTGTGTAAGCAGTATTACTTTCCCCATCATATCATATCGCCTGGTCTGCACATATTACTTCCGTATTAATTATTTTTCAGAAATCCATCTCCATCATCATCTACATCCTCGTCCACCTCCACCTCTTCCTCCTCCTCATCCTCGTACTCCTCGTCCTCGTCCTCCCCTTTCATTCCTTTCCACAAAGAGTGACAAATTAGTTACAGTTAAGTAATTACCCAAATGTAGCCTAGCAACTGTTGAAAAACATCACCCAATACACAGTTGCTGCACTTAATAGACAAAACACAAAAGTTGTTAGTATAAAACTATCAAGCTATTCACGAAACATGTTGCCGAGATTGGAAATCTTACAACACAAATACATCATCTATAAAAGTGAAGAAGAATCATGTGTCTCGCAATATTTATCGCACATTAGATTCAGAATTGAAGCAAATAGTTCCAGAAAAATATAAGAGAATCAGGTCAGCCAGTCCAGTGACAAAATAGTTACAGTTAAGTAATTACCCAAATGTAGCCTAGCAACAATTAAAAAAACACCACCCAATATAGTTGCTGCACTTAATAGACAAAACACCAAAGCATCAACTATCACACTATTCAAGTTGCCGAGATTGGAAATCTTGCAACTAGAGTAGTCGATGGCGCAATGACGATCGGCATTCGTCGAGGGCTTCGCCACAATACCCAGGTCTGGCGATGCGTTTACCCGTGGCGTCGCCATGTCTACGCCTTCACCATCGCCTGCGCCATGTGTGCTATATTTATGCGCTTTTTTGGATTTTTTAAGGCCCATATTAATTAGGGCCTTATTTGTACGCTTAAATGTTTAAAGAAGCGCGCAGCAGTTGCGCCTAGGCGCACCGGAGCTATAAAAAAATCACGCGAAGTGTCCATAAGGCGTCGTGCACTTCTCAAAGTCCAACTCAATTTCTTCTTTATCAAGAAGTCATTCTCCCCTTCTCTCTGCGACTGCCTGCAGACTTTGCGCGTCAGGTTATGGTGTTTCTAGAGTATGAACAAGTTATTATTTTCTCCTTTCTTCTTGGACTTCTCTTAACCGGTTACAGACTTATAGTATTTTTCCTTGAGTTAATAATATATTATTCTGCTATGTATATCATAGTTATCTTTATTTCATTATGGTTGTTGATGTGTTGGCTGGAATATGTGAGTTCAAGCTTGTTAAAAGAGCTCAAAAGCGCGCTTAAGCGCCAAAGCGCAGATGAGCGTCGGTTCCCCGTCTGGCTTTTGGGAAGCGACTCGCCGTGAGAAAGCGGCGCTTTTCCTTCGCTTTTCGTGAGCTCGCTTTTCAATTAAACGACCGCTTTTCAGCGCTTTCCACAAAAATCAGTCATTTGTCTGGTCAATTTTTTTTCAAGTTTCAATTGTTATCGGCTTCACGCTAGAGATTAGGGTTATATTACTTCAACTTTCCATGCACCAGACAACGCCGAGGTGAAGAAGTTGCAGGTGAAGAAGCCGCAGGTTTGGAGTTCGCCCAGACTTTTGTTCGGCTAGAACTCTCCAACTCGCCTGTGAGCCACACATTCTCTTTCATCCAAAGTGTAAACATCGTTCGTCACTCTTCAGCTTTATTCTGTTTTTTAGTTTGAAAACTTTCAGTCTTGTTATAGAGAATAGCTAGCTCTTCAGCCTTTTACTCTGTTTTTTTTTTGTTTGAAACACCTTTCAGCCTTATCATAGAGGACTAGTTACTTGATTAAGGTTTGAATTCCAGTTTATTCCACTAAATTAAATTCCGGTTAACTCCTTTCAGTTTATTGAGTAATTAATTTTTAGTTTATTGACTTTATTCCAGTTTATTCCTTTCTGTTTATTGACTAATTAATTTTAAGTTTATTCGAGTTTATTCCTTTCAATTTATTGATTAATTAATTTCTAGTTTGTTCCAGTTTATTCCTTTCAGTTTATTGTTAATTAATTTTTAGTTTTTTCCAGTTTCATTCCTTTCAGTTTATTCATTAATTAATTTTTAGTTTATTCAAGTTCATCCCTTTTAACTTATTCGAGATTAATTAATTATTATGACTTTTAATACAATTACGTTTTTGCATAATTGTGTGATGAATGTTGACACTTTTTGCCACACTAGTATTATTCTTAATGACTTTTTTTGACTACTTGTGCATTTTTGGCTTAATTATACATTATATATTATATTTTTATTATTATTTTTTATAAGCACCACTTTTTGTGAGAAAGCTACGCTTCGCTTAGCGCTTTCGCTTTTAAGCAAAGCTCAAGGTCAGATATATCGCTTTTGGACGCTTTTCGCTTTAAAAAAGTTTGTGCGAGTTACTTGTCACTCGCCCTACATGTTAATGCATTACAAGCGATATATTATGTATGTTATATTATGTGTATAATTGATAGAGACAAGGGCAGAAATGTAATTAAACCTAATATTGAGTATTTTGATAAAGTATACAAAAGGAGAATTGGGACCAGGAATCTGTAACAAAAATAGGGCAAAAGGGGGTTTTACCCGAGGGATGGGAAATTATTAATAGAGGTGGGAGAAGGGAATTAGAGGCAGCTGGGTATTCTGTTAGTGGGTGGGCCCTGGGAAGAGAGAGACACTCTTATTTGTCTTATTGTTTTCTTCTCTATCGTTCTACGTTCTTCTGTAATTCCCTAAGGATTTTCTGAGTTTATCAGAATCCATTACTAATATAATCAGATCTCCTGGTATTTGGTTGGTGTTCTATCATCTGGTATCAGAGCCCTACCTTCCTGAAGACCGGTGGATGCCCTTCACGCGATCAAAGATGGAAAATTGCATGGAAAATGTTGAGCGAAGCATTCAGGATATGCGAGCGGAGAACAACGATATGCGAACCATGATCACAGAGATGCACAACATGATGTTGCACCATGAGCGACGCCGATCGCGAGTGAGATCGAAGACGCTGAAGAGAAGGACGCGACAAGAAACTCCCAGTTTGTCTTCTGCGTCTAGAGGTAATTCCGCTCACTCCAGTTTCGTTTCTTCACCACGAAGGATCAATGATTATCGGAATCACATACGGACTGGAAGGAAGATTGACCTCCCAGTTTTCAATGGGGTGGATGCGTATGGGTGGATTATACGAGTGGAACGATTTTTTAAGTTGAACAAGGTGACTGAGGCGGAGAAAGTAGAGCTCATCGTCATTGCTATGGAGGAGAAGGCACTGAACTGGTATCAGTGGTGGGAAGAGCAGACTGATGAGCGTACCTGGGAAACCTTCAAGGAGGCATTGATCCGCAGATTTCAACCAGAATTAGTTCAAAATCCTTATGGGCCCATGCTCAGCATTAAACAATCTGGCACAGTCATGGAATATAGAGATCAGTTCGAGTTAGTAGTGGCCCCTTTGAGACACAAGGATGAGTCGATGTTGAGGGGGATTTTCATTAACGGCTTGAAGGATGAGATCAAGGCCGAACTCAAGCTCTATGAGTATAAATCTCCGGCGGAATTGATGGATAAAGCCTTACCGCTGGAACAGAAGAACATTGCATTAAAAGGAGGGAGTCACAGGGAGGTGGATAAAAGGGGATGGAAAGAAAAAGGTGGAAGTCTAGCCAGATATCAACAGTGGGTGGATTGAACCAAATGGAGAACAAATACCAATCAGAACCTCACAGGGAATCTCAGGGACAGAATCCTCCAGGGAGAAATGGCCAAAGATTAACACAAGCGGAACTACAAGAAAGGAGCAGAAAAGGATTGTGTTTCAGGTGTGGGGACATATGGGGAAAAGAGCATGTGTGTAAACTGAAGCATTGTCAGTTAATAGTGACTGAAGACTCGGAGGAAGAAGTACCAGAGATGCAGAACACAACTTCAGAATCTATGGAGAAGGAGACTGAAATAGAACTCAGATCACTGTGGTTATCAGTAATGAGCAAAGAAGGTATCGCAACCCATAAAACCTTCAAGGTGGAAGGGCTGTTAACATCTGGGAAAGAAACCAGGTCAGTGATAATACTCATTGACAGTGGGGCTACTCATAACTTTGTTTCCCAAAAGCTGATAAAGGAAATGGATCTGGCTGTACACGTGATAGAAGGGTTCCAAGTGCAATTGGGCAATGGAGAAAAGATTCACAATAATGGGAGGCGTGAAGGACTACAGTTATTAGTGCAAGAGGTAAGGATCACTCAGGATTTTTATATCCTGGAACTTGGGGAAACAGATTTGGTGTTAGGGATCGAATGGTTATCCAGCTTGGGTGAGGTAAAAGCTAATTTTAAACAATTAACCATTAGATGGGAGGATGAAGGGAAAGAAAAGAAGATAAAGGGAAATCCCGCTTTAAACCACATGCAAGCTTCATGGAGAACTATGGTAAAGGCTTTACAGAACCAGGGCGAAGGGTATTACTTATCTTGTGAAATATATCAGGAGTCCGAGGATGGTTCAGATACTATGGGAACAAACTGGGAGCAGGTACTGACAGAGTTCTCTGAAGTATTCCAGGCTCCTCAAGGATTACCCCCTAAAAGGGATTGTGATCATGCAATCAATATCAAAGAAGGGTCTGCTGAATGCGATAGAATGCGATAGAATGCAGACATCATCAGGCCGAGCACAAGTCCATACAGCAGCCCAGTCCTATTAGTCAAGAAGAAAGAAGGCGGTTGGAGGTTCTGTGGGGATTATCGAGCCCTCAACAAAATTACTGTCCCCGACAAGTTCCCTATACCAGTGATTGAGGAGTTATTAGATGAGTTGGGCCATGCCAAAGTGTTTTCCAAGCTAGACCTAAAATCAGGCTACCATCAGATCCGAATGAAGGATTCAGACTGTCATATAACTGCTTTCAGAACCCACGAAGGGCATTATGAGTACTTAGTCATGCCTTTTGGGCTCACTAATGCCCCATCCACCTTCCAGGCTCTCATGAACCAGGTTCTGAAACCCTACTTGAGAAAATTTGTGCTTGTTTTCTTTGATGACATACTAATCTACAGCACAACTAAAGAAGAACATGAAGAACACTTGAAAAAATTGTTACATGTCCTCCAGGAAAATCAACTGTTTGCCAACAGGAAGAAATGCACATTTGGACAAACAGAACTTTCTTATCTGGGCCATGTCATCTCTGGAGAAGGGGTGGCAGCAGACCCCAGTAAAGTAGCAGACATGTCGGACAAAATAGTAGCACCACTCCATAATTTGCTGAAAAAAGAGAGTTTTCACTGGGACCAAACTGCCAGGGATGCATTTGAGAAGTTGAAGGTTACCATGACAACCTTACCAGTGTTGAAAGCACCAGATTTCAGCAAATTGTTTGTGGTGGAAACCGATGCATCGGGAAAGGGACTTGGAGCTGTATTAATGCAAGAAGGAAGGCCCATAGCTTACATGAGTAAAACCCTATCAGAGAGAAACCAGAATAAGTCAGTGTATGAGAGGGAGCTGATGGCGATTGTACTAGCTGTTCAAAAGTGGATGCCTTATCTTCTTGGCCGCAGGTTTGAAGTACATACCGATCAAAAAAGCCTGAGGTCCTAACAGAGCAAAGAATTATGGGAGAAGAACAACAAAAATGGGTTACTAAATTAATGGGATACAACTTGAGTATTAAGTACAAACCGGGGGTCGAAAACAAAGCTGCAGACGCGTTATCAAGGAAGATCCATCTAATCTCACTGTCGGTGGTCACTTGTCAGGAGTGGGAGGGACTCGAAGAGGAACTTTTGAAAGATGAGAGGTGTCAGGAGATCATACATAAATTATGGGGAAAACAGGAAGTCAATCCGGATTTCAAATTAAGAAAGGGGCTGCTGTACTATCAAGGAAGGTTGGTTATACCAAAGGATTCTGCTAGGATACCTCTAATACTTAAGGAGTTCCATGATTCTGCAGTTGGGGGACATACGGGACAATTTAGAACCATGAAAAGGATTTCCACTATATTCTACTGGGCTGGAATGAGGGCTGATATCAAGGCTTATGTACAGGGGTGTGAAGTCTGCCAGAGGAATAAATACCAAACTTTAAGCCCAGCAGGCCTGCTACATCCTCTGCCCATTCCGAGTCAAATGTGGGCTGACATTAGCATGGATTTCATTGGGAGACTACCTAGAGCTGAAGGGAAAGACACAATTCTTGTAGTGGTAGACCGACCCTCAAAATTCGCACACTTCAGTGCTTTAAGCCATCCTTACACTGCCAAGGGAGTGGCTGAAATTTTTGTGCAAGAAGTAGTTAGAGTCCATGGTTTCCCGAAGTCTATAGTATCTGACAGAGACAGTGTATTCCTTAGTTCCTTCTGGTCAGAGTTATTTAAACTCGCTGAGACTAAACTGAAGTATAGCACAGCTTACCATCCGGAAACGGATGGTCAAACGGAGGTGGTGAACAGGGTGCCTATAAACTTATCTGAGGTGCCTGACGGGAACTAAACCTAGACGCTGGCCAAAATGGCTTCCGTGGGCGGAATACTGGTATAACACTAACTACCATGTGTCCATAAAGAATACCCCCTTCAAAGCATTATATGGACAAGACCCCCCGGTAGTAGTGAGAGGGGATGCTTCTTTGACAGCAGTAGATGAAGTGACAAAGCTAACAGCAGAAAGAAATGCAATGTTGGAGGAATTAAAAGACACCTTGGCTAGGGCACAAAACCAGATGAGACAGCAAGCCAATCAACACAGGAGGGACTTACAATTGGAGGTAGGAGAGCAGGTGTACCTCAAAATCCAGCCCTACAAGCTCAAGAGCCTAGCAAAAAGAATCAACCAGAAGTTAAGTCCAAGGTACTATGGACCATTTGAAGTGGTTGAAAAGGTGAATCCAGTAGCCTACAAGCTGCAGTTACCAGAGGGATGCCTCGACCATCCAGTTTTTCACATATCCTTATTGAAAAAGACCTTATCTCCTGCTCTAAAGTTTCAACCACTCCCTAAGTGCATCTCCGAAGATTTGGGACCTTCAAGTCACCCCAGAAAGCATTGTGGATACTAGGGTCAGCCCCACAGGAGTGAAGGAAGTCTTGGTCCACTGGAAGAACCTGCCAGATTTTGAAGACTCTTGGGAGCCCTTGAATCAGATGCAGGAACACTTTCCAGCCTTCCACCTTGGGGACAAGGTGGTAGAGTTGAGGAGGGAAGTGATGATAGAGACAAGGGCAGAAATGTAATTAAACCTAATATTGAGTATTTTGATAAAGTATACAAAAGGAGAAGTGGGACCAGGAATCTGTAACAAAAATAGGGCAAAAAGGGGTTTTACCCGAGGGATGGGAAATTATTAATAGAGGTGGGAGAAGGGAATTAGAGGCAGCTGGGTATTCTGTTAGTGAGTGGGCCCTGGAAAGAGAGAGACACTCTTATTTGTCTTATTGTTTTCTTCTCTATCGTTCTACGTTCTTCTGTAATTCCCTAAGGATTTTCTGAGATATAAGAGAATCAGGGCAGTCAGTCTAGTGATGGTATCTTGGACTTTGGCATCAAGAGATGGACTTTACTAGCTGACTGAAGATGAGGATACCAGAGCTCAAGTTGCTCCCATTGTCAGACTTCAGGAAGTCATCCTTTTAGATACATGATATGTTAGTATTTGTTCTATTCTGCTAGATTTTGAAGACTCTTGGGAGCCCTTGAATCAGATGCAGGAACACTTTCCAGCCTTCCACCTTGGGGACAAGGTGGTAGAGTTGAGGAGGGGAGTGATGATAGAGACAAGGGCAGAAGTGTAATTAAACCTAATATTGAGTATTTTGATAAAGTATACGAAAGGAGAAGTGGGACCAGGAATCTGCAACAAAAATAGGGCAAAAAGGGGCTTTACCCGAGGGATGGGAAATTATTAATAGAGGTGGGAGAAGGGAATTAGAGGCAGCTGGGTATTCTGTTAGTGGGTGGGCCCTGGGAAGAGAGAGACACTCTTATTTGTCTTATTGTTTTCTTCTCTATCGTTCTACGTTCTTCTGTAATTCCCTAAGGATTTTCTGAGAGATAAGAGAATCAGGGCAGTCAGTCTAGTGATGGTATTTTGGACTTTGGCATCAAGAGATGGACTTTACTAGCTGACTGAAGATGAGGATACCAGAGCTCAAGTTGCTCCCATTGTCAGACTTCAGGAAGTCATCCTTTTAGATACATGATATGTTAGTATTTGTTTCTATGCAAAGTGATTTGAATGGAAATTGCTAGGTTTCTGAAAGGGCTGACAGAGAGAGATTGAGAGAAGAGTGGTGGGTTGAGAAAAGAATGAATTGACAGAATGATGAGAGGGAGTATGACATAAACTAATAAACTTAGAATTTCGCATTTAAATTTACTATTATCTTATGAGACTTATGCTATTGCAATCATAAAAAAAGCCTCAAACACGAAATTTCGAAAAGAGATGAAAGGCTAACATGAAAGGCTACATGATATTGGAGCCCAAAAAGAAAAGAGAGATGAAAAAGATGCAAAAATAAGCTATGGTGAAAAAGATTATACAAATAGAGATAAGCTATGATTTTGAACTTAGACACACACACACACACACACACACATATATATATACAGCATACTTAGTATTAAGTGTATTGCATTCCCTTCTTTTCTGGTACCTGGTTCTGGTTCTGGCCTCACAAAGAAAACGCTAGTACGAACTTTGCTTCCACCAGCCCAGTGCATATGGAACACCTTTGTTTGATAGTTTCTGTATTTCCCAGTGTTAACTTCTTTAGCAAAAAAAGTTATATAGAATATGGTTGCGGTTCGATTAGCCTTTATTATTTTATCTAATTCCAACTGTGAGCCCTGCATTATAGTTCATATGAAAAAACATCAATCAAATAGATTGTGAATATGTAGGGTAACAAAGGCAACTAACGTCAAATAAACAAACCTGAGCACGTTGATTGTATCTCTTAATGGCGAGGAATGTGGCCTCTTTAACGGATATGATAGATTGGCGATTTCCAAAGTCCACAGGATAAATGCCAAGGTACCCCGGAAAACCAAATGGAGGAAGAAGGTCGAGATTCACATCAAACCCCTGAATGAATGATTAGATAGACAGGCTCTATAAGATGAGCAAATACAATTCGCTTTATCCAATTTCAGTACTTCTTTAAATAACATAGATAGATTTATTTACTTGATGCTCGTCTACATACGCCATGTACTTATCGTATGCCGCTTCTCTGGCGATGTCCCATTTAGGACTGCCGTTTCCGGAATCGCTCTTACTTCCTACGTCATCCTCGTCTTCCTCTTCAATCTTTGGCTTCTTAGGAGAAGGCGGATCGACTTCATCATCGGAGAGAGAACCATCGTCGGAGAAAAAACATGGTATCTTGATGTTTGCAATCTCCTTCTCCTTCGGCGGACGCTCAATACGTATACCAGAATCGACTCGCATTATCTGCATAGAAACAAAATACGAGGTCGGAACTTACAATGAAACACTTGCTGTACAAAACTAAATTACCAATTGTGAGAAGAAACTGAGAGGCGCAAGATTTTGATTTCAATATAGATTTTGATTTCAATATAGATACACCCTGTGTTTTTAGGGTTTTAACACGAAACGAGGATGAATGAACAATTACTTTAGGCCTGTTTGGTCTGGGGTAATGCCCGAATATGAAGACAGGAATGTGAGAGATACAGGTACTCTTGATTTTCTTTCGAAAATATCTTCGATTGATTATCATTTTTCACTTAATTTCTTTATGTAGCGTAATTTTATAAAACTTTTAATATAGTTTCTAAAATCTAAATATGTAAATTTTATTTAATAAAAAATAATATTATTATTGAAAAAGATCAGTTAATTTTATGGTCAGTCGATCGTAGATTGTGTGACAAACTTTTAAGTGGGACAGATAGAGTATGTTTATTTAATTATATTTGAATGTATACTCTTGTTATTTTCATAATTCCTTTTTCCTTAATATTTAAATTTTTTAAGGTTTATTTTATAAGACTTTAGATTATTTAAGTTTTTGATGAGTGGATTTCAAAATTTAATGACAAAATTGATCATTTTTCTTTAATTTGAAAAGAAGTTTATGAATAACTTGAACATTTTCAAACTTATTTTTTTTTGAAATAATAATAAATATATTTAGATTACTATTTGAACAAAGTTTTTTTCACTTTTGAATTGGATCTACAACTTTTTACGATTAAATGTAATTTACTTAAAAATAATTCAATTAGGTTTGATTTTATTTATTATTAAAATATTTCATTTTTTCTTTAATTTTTAATTACTTTAGATGCTAGTTGTAATAGATTTATTGTATTAAGATAAAATATTTAAAAGACATTGAAGTAATTCACCATATCTGCAATATAAGATATCTTTCAACCAAGTAAATTAATATCACATTCCATTAATCTTAACCAAACACAAATGGGAATAAATTAGATACATTTCCATCAATCTAACATACCCACCATCTGTCATTCGCGTGGTAATCTGACATCCCTAAATCAAACGGCCCCTTAGGCTTTGTTTGCAAACATCAGACATCGCCCTATGAGTGTATATTGGACTCCTCATGGTCCGAATCAATTGTCACAAGGACACCGCCTGATCCTGAATTACTAAACCACGGTCTACATCAAGACATTATGCTTGACATTGTGAACAAAAACTTATCAAAATGATATAAGATCATTCATAGAAGGAGAGATATTTTAATTATTGTTTTATGATTGGCTATCTCTCATTCCACGTATACACCGTTAACGTATTAGCATTGGAGATGCTCTTAATCATATTCTTAATTTGATTGACTAGCTTTAAGGAGGGGTCTTTCCCCGTGAGATATCTTGGTATCCCTTTGGCACCACTTAAGATTGTTGTTGCACAGTATGCTCCTTTATTGGATTCCATTACTAATTTTATCACTGCTTGGAATACTAAGACCCTCTCTTATGCTGGGAGAGTTGAGCTTATTAAATCTGTGATTCAGGGCCTGCATTCTTTTTGGCTACAAGCACTCCCTATTCCTAAGGCAGTACTTGATGGGATAACTTCTATCTGTCGTATTTTCTTATGGGGGTGTAAGTATGCTAGAGTTGCATGGTCTGATGTTTGCCTCCCTAAAGAGGAAAGTGGTCTTGGAATTCATGACACTTATACTTGGAATTCTGCGCTTCTTGCCAAAACCCTTTGGGATATCCACACTAAAAAAGATAACCTTTGAGTTAGGTGGATCCATGGAGTCTACCTTAATGGTAGAGGTGTTTGGGAGTTCACACCTCATACAAGGGACTCCCAACTGATTAAGAAAAATGCTTTGATTAGAAATCAATTCTTTTCTCATTTTGGCAATACTAATGATGCCATCACTTTTCTTAATGGTTGCCAAACCAATGTGAAGCTGTCCTCGGCCATGGTTTATAATCTCCTAAGAATTAAAGGGGGAACTCATATGTGGATGTCTTTCATTCGGAAGAATTACATTCCCCCCAAATTCTCTTTCACGGCTTGGTTAGCCTTTAGGGCTTGGTTAGCCTTTAGGAATCGGCTTGCTACTTTTGACAATCTTCATAGATTGGATGTGGTTAATATTTGCCCGTTTTGTAAGGGTGGTCCGGAAACGGTACCACACCTATTTTTTGCTTGTTCTTTTTCAGGAAACGTATGGCACAAAGTGAAGAGCTCGCTGGATATTTCAAGGGAGATGGGGACTTTGCATAGTGCGCTGAAATGGATCAAGAGGAAGAGGCAAGGTTCGAGCATCAAAGCTAAAGCGGCTAGGATTGCTTTCTGTTTCTCCATCTATTGGATTTGGAGAACACGGAATACCACCTGTTTTGACGGATTGGTTCCTAAGGAGGAGGATGTCTTTGCTAAGATCCATTACATGCTTTACAAGATCTTATATAGCCTTTATCCTCATGAGCTTGTAACTTTTTGAGTGCCTTTTGTTTTTGGCCTCTTTGTGCGTTTGGCTGCTTTTGGGTGTTTATGCTTGCGGTTTTGCCCCTTTTTTGTGCTGCACCTTCACTTGTCTTTAGGTGCTTGGTGGCTGCTTTGGTTATTTGTGGCAAGCTGTTTGAGGTTATCCTTGTCGGATAGCCTACATTTTTGTTTCCCTTTTCTTGCTTGTACATTCTTTCCCTCCTCTTCTCTTGGGTGATTGATTTATATACTTACAGTTTACCCAAAAAAAGGAGGGTAGAATGTGACACCTCGAAAAATTTATTAAAATAAAATAAATAGTTTTCATAGTCAGATAAATTGTTACAAAAGTGAGATTTTAATAATTAAGTGAATTAGACAAAAGATTGACATTGGTCACATGTGTAGTCTAATAAAAATGTTTCGGTAGTAGAATTGGCATTTTATGTTAATTATAAAAATCATATTTCGTGACAAGTGATAATTATACATTTGGCAAAAGTGACATATATTTTTTTATTCAGATAAAATATTATAGATATAATATTAGTGACTTTTTTATAAAAAAAATGGTGGTTGATAAATTTAAGAGTTACAAAATTCCTATGGACCAAGTATATTTCATACTAGAGTAGTACGTAATAACAACAAAAATCCTTTTGACCAAACCATGGCTTGCGCCTTGCGGTTGACCTTAGTATGTACTTGTACATGAGTTACATAACGTACAGTGAATCTAACGCATATAGGCATATAGCACGCCCGATTCAAATAAACAAGAGCCCTGCTGTTACACAAATTCTTATAGTAAGCGTACGTGATAAGAAGGACGGATGCGAAAATCATTATATACGAACTTGGAGCCTTCCAAGTAAACCAATCGGATAAGCTCAAAAGCTAATCCGATAAACCCTCGCATGAAAAAGATAAGAAACCTAGAAAATGTGGAATAATCTGGGTATATTTATACTACGTATCATTCACAATCGAGAGAAAAGATAAATAAATAAAGAGAACGAACGAGTGAATGACGACCTGCGACAAAAGAGAAAGAGGGAAGGTCTATGAGGGAGTAAGGGAGAAGAGAATGGGACGAGCACCGCCGAGAAATCCGCCAGAGTACTATTGCAGACCACCGGAGGAACGAACGCCGTTGTGTCGCTGGAAGAGTATGGACCGCGTCGCTGTGCCGCCGGACCAGGTTGCTGCCGCCAAACTCCATCGTCGTAGTACCGCTGAACCCAAACAGAAGCGTGGTTTGCCGGAGTATCATTTCGGGTCCGCCGGGCTGATTTCACGCAGTAAGAGGAGTTGCCATCGCCGACCAGACCACTGCCACCGTTTGACGAGGCTGATGTTTCTTGACACCGGCTGTTACGAGCCTGGAAGCCGCAGTAGGAGTCGTTTTCCTAGTTCCTCCTTGGCCGTCGACGAGTACGTACGTACTACATAGTACTATGCTGATGAAGAACAATTTGATAGGATTTGCCAGAAGACTCTTAGTGGCAGTACGCCCTTCCCCTCTGGCGCCATACCACCATGGCCTCCGCCTTTATATATTGCACTCCCGCAGCAACCGCCGCTGCATCTTCCTCTCCTTTAAACGACAAACTCTTTGTTGCCGGTAATCTCCTTTCTCTCGTATAATATCTGTGACTTCCTTCTAAAATTTGTTGTCTGATGATGAACGAGCATTCATTGATGAAGGTTTATCTCGGTCCGTGGACGAGAAGACATTAACAGCCGCTTTTTCTGATTTAGGCCAGGTGACAGAAGGTATATGGGAAACACATGTATGAATTTTATTACGAGGGATTTACCTAAATGGGAGTAAATAAATCATCAATTGCTAAAAGAGGAGTAAATTTTAAAATTTTCCCAAATAGGAGTTATTATTTGTAACCAGACAAAAATGCCCTCAAACTTAGCAAAACCAACTCTTGCCAACAAAAGCTCGGACTGCCGCCGGTTTCCGGCCGCTGTCGCCGCAGAACCGGTCAACGCTACAAATCCGGCCGTTGTCACCGTAGATTTGTCCGCCACCGCCGTAGATCTGGCCAGATCTAGCCGCCTCCGACCCCCGGCCGCCGTCCCTACAGATTTGGCCTCCGTCGTTGTAGATCCGGCCTCCATCGCTGCAGATCCAGCCTCCGCTTCTGCATAACCAGCATCCACCGTTGCAGATCCGACCTTATGCCAAAAATTTTATCAGATTGCCATCATAAATCGAGAATGCCATCTAAATTACATTTTCAAAGGAAAATATGAAAGTTTTTGAGTAAAAATGCCACTTTCATGGCATTTCAGAATAAAGTTGAAATTTTTTAACCACCAAATATAAAACTGAGCATTCGTCGTGTGACAAAAAGGTGAAACAAAATAATCCATATTTGAGCTAGACTAATTCTGCCAGAATTCTAGGCAATGACATCAGCCATCAGGTCCTCGAGGCGATTTCTGTCAACAATCAATATTAAGCCTTGGCATGAGGGCCTCAACAACTTCAGCATCTTGGGCCCAAAGAAAATGCAAGAGTAATATACGGACAATTATACTCGGTATATAATACTACCTCCGTAACACAAAGATCTTCCCATTTTGACTTTTCACGATCTTCTAAGTTGAACTTTGACTCTAAATATCTACATATCTGTATTTATAAAATTCATAAAAAATTAACATTCAAATAATATGTTTTACAATGAGGTATATGAAATAAATTTTTAATCATAACATAATGTGAGATTTGAACAATTAATGGTCAAAGTTTATAAAGTTTGACCCAAAAGAGTCAAACTGGGAAGATTCTAGGGTTACGGAGGTAGTATATTATACATATTATTATATTATATATAATATATTATTATATTGTAACACTAGTTTTCGGGACAACTCGGGACGGTACGAGACGGTCCGGTTCGGTACGGTTCCGGGACGGTTCCGGTACGGTTTTCACTAATAACCGGTACCGTAGCATATTATCAAAAAAGCTCGGTACGGTACGGTGCGGTATTACACTTTTCCGGCTCTATCGGTTCTGGAACGGTTCGGGACGGTTCTTCGGTACGGAACGGGAATTCCTAGATCCGTGCTCAGCCCTAATCCAAAGTGTATATTTATTTGGTATAAATTAACATGTATTCTTTAATTTTATTTAATGCCATACTACAACGTCATTTTTGTGTATTCTAATTCTGTAATGTACTCTTTTGTTTTGTATATGCATTTAGTATGATCACTTCTAAATATATTGAGTGCTCTTAAAATAAACGTTTTACATTAATATTTAATTATGTAAAAAATAAAATATTTTTTAATCCCGTGCATCGCACAGGTACGATACTGGTATATTGAATATTAGAAGAGAAAAAATCACAAAATTGACGAGTCTTTTCTAATTTGCTATACGCATGACCACTTGCTGCTTAGGCACCAATTTGCAATCCTTAACCTCTCTAATATTGAACAATTCCTTATACTTTTTAGGGCCTGGCCACTCAAAGTGCTAATGATGTCATTATTGAGACAGAAGGGAGCAAGATGAGTAGAGTACAGAAAGTGCTAGAATGAATGGAGCTCTGGCTACTGCATTTGGATTTGTAGCTGGGCTGGCCTCTGGAACACTTTCAAGGGTGAGGATGAGAACAGATTCCCCAAGTTCGGGTTCCAGAGAGGAAGCAGAAATCCAACAACCGGAATGGGATAGAAAAATGAGCATGGATGGTAGCGAAATGCTATCTATAATAAAGACAAGAGGCAAATCATGTTGTGGAGGCCATTAAACAGTCATTTGTGGTAGAATCTCTATGTAACAATAAGGCAGAACCAACAAATGCATCTGTACACCCTCCAGATGGAGCATATGCTTTTAAACACTTGAGGATTATGAAACAAATTACCTTGAAAATTCAAATGAGGTTGGTAACTATTAGGAAATTGCGATTTATGTCCTCAATCATTATTTTCAATCAACAATCAGTGAGATTTTCCCTTTGTGTTTACTTGATATATCCAGATTGGACTCAGGGTTTGGTTGTGTCACTATCTAAGTAATACTCCGTAATACTCTTCTCCATTAACTGCAATCCTAATGTTTTAAAAAAGAAACATAGTTCGTCTTAAACAAAACAGTATGTTCAGAGGTACGTGGTAAGGGGAATCTCAAAGAAATTAAGATATGTTTTCTTAACGAATCCTGATTCCAGATATTGTTCTTTGACTTTTGTAAGAAAGTCAATTATACCGTATCCATGAAAGTACTAAATTATGTGGTAAATTAGTAAAGCCGCAGAATATATATTGAATATTAGAAGGGAAAAAATCACAAAATTGACGAGTCTTTTCTAATTTGCTATACGCATGACCACTTGCCGCTTGGGCACCGAATTGCAATCCTTCATCTCTCTAATATTGAACAATTCCTTATACTTTTTAGGGCCTGGACACTCAAAGTGCTAATGATGTCATTATTGAGACAGAAGGCAACAAGATGAGTAGAGTACAGAAAGTGCTAGAATGAATGGAGCTCTGGCTACTGCATTCGGATTTGTAGCTGGGCTGGCCTCTGGAACACTCTCAAGGGTGAGGAGGAGAACAGATTCCCCAAGTTCAGGTTCCAGAGAGGAAGCAGAAATCCAACAACCGGAATGGGATAGAAAAATGAGCATGAATGATAGCGAAATGCAATCTATAATAAAGACAGAGGCAAATCATGTTGCGGGGGCCATTAAACAGTCATTTGTGGCAGAACCTCTATGTAACAATAAGGCAGAACCAACAAATGCACCTGTACACCATCCAGATGGAGCATATGCTTTTAAAAACTTTGATATCGCAACTGATGCTCATGATCACTATTCTGTTGGTGCAGTTGATCAGGTTAGTTATTTGTCTCTAGATTGTTGCTACTGATAAGGCACTTACATACTAGAATTTTCTCATTTATTGTATTCCCTATGTGGGCTATCAATGTATTTATAGAACAATGCTGGAAGGAAGTGGCTTAGGAAAGTTCATCAAGATTGGAACTTTCTTCGGAATTACTTGCCTGGTAACTTTTACGCCCTCCATCCAGTTTTGTTTGTCCAATATATCCTTTTTAGGTCATCAAAATGTTTCTGTACCAAATTTGGCCATATTTTGTGTCTCACAAGCATTCTTACTTTTTAAAAATTCAATATCAACCACATAATCTCACTTTTCCTTGATATTTGTGCCAGACCCCATGCCCCAGACTTAGTGGGACTGAGTTAGTATTGTTTCCGTGTGCTGTGTCCGTTATTTATTGGGCCATGTCATGAGAAGCGACGGCTATACTATTCAGAGATTTTAGGATGGTGTCTGGCTGGCATAAAAGGAATACTTTGATTGATCTTGAGTAGCTTTGTCACCTTGGTTTAACTCCTACTAAAGTTACCCATTGAGGGAAACTTACTGTTGTTGTGTTCTAACCGAGTGGGTGTGTGCTCTGCCGCCGTCATGTCGGCAGGATCCACATGGCCATGAAGGGATGAATCCCGGTTCATTGAAAAAATGATTTTTTAAATAAAATTAATGGGAAAACGGATAATATAAATAGATATTTAGGGATTTTTAGGGGAGATGTTGAGTTCTTTCAAACTCCCTTATGGTGGCTAATTGTAATAGTTCTATGATGTATTTCATGTATGGCAGCCATCTCTTATAGAAACGGGATCGGTTACGGAGCCCTAGTTGAATTGGTCTGATACCAATGATAGAATCCTCCAGGTTAGCAGTAAAGTTACGGAGAAATTAACAACAATTTGAGAATTTTATTGAAGGTGAACAGAATCTGTAACAACGATAGAGAGAGTATGGCCGAAGCCCCCAAATGGGCTGAAGCCCCCCAAAGAAAGAGATTCGCTCTCGATCTTCCCAAGTCCCAAATGACAAAGTCTAAAACAGCCTACTCAACCCTTCCCTGCTATCTTCTATTTATACTAAACTTATACACTTTATTCTAATTAATACTCTAATAGGCCCGGTCCTTTATTCTTAGTATCTAATAGGTCCGGTCCCTAACAATACTCCCTCCCTAAACATCCACCTTGCCCTCAAGGTGGGCGGTAGGAGACAGCCAAGATCTTTTGCTCCTTCTTCCTTGCACTTCTACATTCCCAATATCTCACTGGTTTCCGAGCAAAGAGCTTCAGTATTAGATCTTCACAACTCTGAGATGTTTCTGCAGCATAGAATGTTTCTGGTGAAGTATCTTTCTCTTTCTTAGTCTTCAGGCCTTCAATAGCCACCAATATTTTCATTCTTTCCTGAGGTATACCCATTACAACAGCAGCAGAATTTATATTCATGTCCTGAACATCAGGATTCTCATCCCTTTTAACCTGCTCAACTCCATTTGCCTTTTCTACCTTTGAGTTAGGCTTGACATCAAATTTCTGTGGCTCTATCATGCTTTTCAGTAAAACAGTGTCATCCTCTGCTGCACTGTTAGTACCCTCAACAACATTCCACCAAACAACTCTCTTTCGGATATTCTTCATAGAATTCACACCGTCAGTTTTGATACCCTCAAAATGATTCAAGTCTTTCAACAATTTCTTTGATGAAGGGTGGTGCACACAATCTATTAGGGCACCCAATTCCCTTTTATTAATTCTACCCAGCATTCCCTAAATATTCTCCTGCCATGACTCCATAAACATTTTTACTTCTACTTCTGCAAAGAATTTCTTGGTATCTATCAACCAGACACTGAGGTGGGCTTGCTGTTTTCTTATCTGCAGAAAAATAATGACACCATACACCAACTCTTCCAGATTATGCATTATTACCTTGACACCCTTACTATCCAAAACTGCCAACAAGAGCTTAGATAGATTGCCTACAAGAGCTTAGATAGATTGCCTGAAGATATTTTCTGTTTGCCGCTACACAAGGGAGTATCATCAAACTTATCCTGCCCTTTCGACCTATTACTCAGTACACAAAGGTGCATAATTTCCTTTAGAACACCCAATCCCAGATTTGGAAATCTACCAATTCCAAAATTAAGATATTCTGGATTTGGTTTCAGAACAATTGATTTTTTCCGGATTTGTTTCCTTGATTACCATTTCTGCTTGCTTCAACTTGGAGGAGAATACGTGCGCAGGGTTATAAACTTCTTGCGACAATATTTGCGAACAAGAAGATTCATCTCGGGATAACATCACATTCTGACGCGAGAAACTAGCAGACGAGAATGCATGTGGACTGAGACCAGCTGTTGCAGGTGGTTGCAAACTGAAAGAAGCAGTTCGCGATTGTGAACTGGGAGCTTCCCATCTCGATTGTGTCTTACGTGAACTGGAAGACGTTGTTGGCGAAGTCTCCTGCGAACTGAAAGAAGACACCTGCGAACTGGGGACTTCTGCTTGCGTCACAGCCCGAGGACCAGAAGAATTTGTTTGCGCACTCAGAAAAACGGCTTGAGAGGAAGAATTCTGCGAATGGTGAAAACCCGTTCACAATTCCGTTTGGGAACTTGTGAGCGTTTGGGACGAATTTTGTTTGTCCGATAGCGAAGAGCGATGAGAGGAGCGATGCGAAGAGCTATGCGAAAACTTATGCGCAGAACGATGCGAAGTGTGTGACGATGGGGAAGACTCTGTTCGTGACTGGAGACGGTGAGAAGATCTTCGCGATTGCGAACTATGCGAAGAAGTTCACGACTCCTTCTGCGAACTGTTGAGCGATGGCGACGAACTGGGATACGCAAAAGTCCGGCGACTTTTAGGGCTCCTTGATCGATGTCTGCGATGAAATTGGTCCATACTGTTCAGCAGGTCTTTCATCTTGTTCAGCGTAGCATTCGTCCCTGCGTTCATCTCTTTCATCTGTCGATTCAACCTAGCATGCGTCTCCTTTATAATTCGGTCAATATTATCAAAACTCTTTTCCATTTGCGGTGTCATGTAGAAATCCTCCTCCATGATTCACATTCTGTCTCCAGGATGTAACAGCTCTGATACCAATGATAGAATCCTCCAGGTTACAGAGAAATTAACAAGAACAATTTGAGAATTTCATTGAAGGTGAACAGAATCTGTAACAGCGATAGAGAGAGAGTATGGCCGAAGCCCCCAAATGAGCAGAAGCCCCCCAAAGAAAGAGATTGGCTCTCGATCTTCCCAAGTCCCAAATGACAAAGTCTAAAACAACCTACTCAACCCTTCCCTGCTATCTTCTATTTATACTAAACTTATACACTTTATTCTAATTAATACTCTAATAGGCCCGGTCCTTAACTCTTAGTATCTAATAGGCCCGGTCCCTAACAGATGAACAGAAAATGAGATGATTTTGACAACTAGAATCCTATTTGAGACTATTTGTTGAGCCCTTAATCTGTGGACAAGCGAGTTGTTTAAACGTGTGCTAGATAGGGATTAAATACAACAAGTTATGATCATATCAATTTCTACACGTGTTCGGAGTGAAATCGAGAATTTTTGTGAATTTAAGGTTAATTTGTACCTTATACTTGATGCATTCTCTGGACAGGCTATAACTAATATCCCCTCCTCCGTTCACAAGAAATATGTGGTTCATATCATTTCACTTTATTCTACTAAAAGTCAATCATAATTAAGATATTTTTACTTAGACTTATTACAGTCCCAGACCACAACAAATCAGATCAAACCAGAATATTACAATTTAAGTAAAAATATCCTTAATTTTCAATCACTTGGTAATAATTGTGTCAAATTAAAACAAGACATTCACTATAGCCGCCGTATGTGATGATTAAAAAAATGGTCAAATAGACCCTTCCACTATTTCAAATCCGTCATTTAAGCCCCAGACCAGAACAGGTAAACCCAGAAAATTTCAATCTAAGTAAATACATCCTTAATTTTCAATCACTTAGTAATAATTGTGTCAAATTAAAACATGACATTCAGCATGGCCACCGTATATGATGATTAATGAAATGGGTCAAATAGACCCTTCTACTATTTCAAATCCGTTATTTAAGCCTCTATATTATAAAAGTATCATATAAGTACATCTACTTTAACAAAATGATCAATTTGGCCATTTAATCAGTTTTTGATAGATTAAAAACTGATAAATTAGGAACTGATAAATTTAAAACAGTTGCAAATGATGCCGGATTCGAAATTGTTTAATTTTTATTTTTTAAAAGTTAAACCAAGAGATCGGTAAATCTTACAAAAATTCATATAAATTTGAAAAAAGAATGTAATAATAATAAGAAGAAGAAATAGTATAAATGTAAAAATAGATAAACAATTTAAAATCGTTAAAATACACAAAAAATAAAAAATCAGAAAATTGAAAAACTGAAGTGGAAAATTTGAGGGCCTGTTTATTTTGAACTTAATGGACTGAATGGAAATATCTACTTAATCGTATAGTTATATTGGAGTAGCAAAATTTTTATACTCGCGGTAATTTTTAACCCTGGCCTTCTCTCATCCCTAGTTCGCCACTCTCATAGTGGCCATTTTCATTGCCTGCTTCTCAATCGACCTGGGAGCTATTACGGAAGCAACAAGAGGCATCTCATCTCCTACCTTCTTCATCTAGGTTTTTCCTGTAATTTTATCTCTGTTATTATTTTTACTATTATTAAAAATGTAGAGTCCATTCTTATATATTTTCGAAGTAATTGCTCAAATCCTAAACAATCTAGTTTTCATTCTCCAGATAGTGATTTGAGCACTGTAAAATCACAAGTGTTGATTCTTTATTATAATGGGAAAACATTGGCTGAATTTTGCTGAATTGCAGGACATTTTTAAGCCTGGCCTTCTCATCCCTAGTTCGCCACTCTCATAGTCGCCATTTTCATCACCTACTTCTCTATCGACCTGGGAGCTATTAGGAAAGCAACAAGAGGCATCTCATCTCCTACCTTCATCTCATCTCTTCTCTGTTTTATTATTTTTACTATTATTAGAATTGCAGAGTTCATTCTTATATATTTTCGAAGTAGTTGCTCATATCCTAAACAATCTAGTTTGGATTCTCCAGATAACGATTTGAGTACCGTAAAATCATAAGTGTTGATTCTTTATTATAATGGGAAAACATTGGCTGAATTTTGCTGAATCGCAGGACATTTTTAACCCTGGCCTTCTCATCCCTAGTTCGCCACTCTCATAGTCGCCATTTTCATTGCCTACTTCTCCATCGACCAGGGAGCTATTAGGAAAGCAACAAGAGGCATCTCATCTCCTACCTTGTTCATCTAGGTTTTTCCTGTAACTTTATCTTTGTTTTATTATTTTTACTATTATTAAAATTGCAGAGTCCATTCTTATATATTTTCGAAGTAATTGCTCAGATCCTGAACAATCTAGTTTTGATTCTCCAGATAATGATTTGAGCACTGTAAAATTATAGGTGTTGATTCTTTATTATAATGGGAAAATATTGGCTGAATTTTGCTGAATTGCAGGACATCTTTAACCCTGGCCTTCCTACCCCTAGTTCGCCACTCTCATAGTTGCCATTTTCATCGTCTACTTCTCCATCGACCTGGGAGCTATTAGGAAAGCAACAAGAGGCATCTCATCTCCTGCTTTCTTCATCTAGGTTTTTCCTGAAATTTTATCTCTGTTTTATTATTTTTACTATCATTAAAATTGCAGTGTTCATTCTTATAAATTTTCGAAGTAATTGCCCAAATCCTAAACAATCTGGTTTTGATTCTCCAGATAATGATTTGAGCACCGTAAAATCATAAGTGTTGATTCTTTATTATAATGAGAAAACATTGGCTGAATTTTGCTGAATCTCGCAGGACCTTGTTCCTAAATATTTGATATGTTGAATTTTGCTGAATAGTAGAAAATGCTTAAATTTATTATGTTGTAAAATATTTTTTGAATTTATATCATCGTGTTGTAAGCTGATTTGCCTAGTGTATTCATTTTATTATAAATTTTATGTAATTAAAATATCATCAGAATAGCATAGGTAAACAAACGATATATGTTCAGCACATTTACTACACTTTAAAGGGTAAATTGGTATTTTAATATAATTCAGACTACATGTTCAGCATTCAAAGTAAACAGCTTGTTATACTATTGTCACTTAATACATACTACATGTCCAGCTTGTTATACATATTATCACTTAAAGGGGGGGAAAGTAAACAGCCCCTGAGTATGATTTACACTAATTGATTTTATATGTACTTCTCGACAGTAGGATGTCCTCCTCTTCAAGAGGCAAGCTGCCCACACATTGGGACTGGCGCAGTGAAGGTGTTCTACAAACACCGATTTTGAATCAAGGAAAGTATGAAGTCTGTTGGGCAATCCAAACTGCGGCATGCATTGAAGCTCACGTAAACATAAAGTTGAAAGAGAGGGGGGAGAGGGCTAACGTAAGTCTCTCCCCCCAATCACTTATAGACGAATGTAAACAGAACAAAAACGGCTCAATTGGACTGACAGGCAGGGCTTTCAACTACGTGAAACAGGAAGGAATCGCTTATATGTCCGACTACGAGTTCACAGGGAGAAGAGCACCTCCAAAAGAATCAAAGGGCAGCAAACGCTTACAAATCGCTGATTATGGTCAATTAGAAAACGACGATGAGAGCCATGGACCACGGGTGAAAGTGCGGGATCGGGAAATCATTAAGCTTGTCCATAAGCACCCCATCGCTGGAGTTCTAAAGTACACGAAAGAATTCGGAGAAATAAAGGACAATGAGGTAGAAGATTATAACTCAATGACAATAATTTATATATGATAAGAAGGGTAGAAGATTATAACTGAGTCATAATAGTTTACATCTAGTACATTGATGTTTTTTATTCAACAGATTTATAAGGAGCCTACGGAGCCTACTAGCAGCAGCAAGAGGAAAGGCCAGGTAAGCAAGAACAATGAGGGCACTATAGAACATGTTGTTCTAATTATGGGCTACGGGGAGGAGAAAGATGGATCCAAGTATTGGATAATACGCAATTCGTACGGGGCTGGTTGGGGCGTCAATGGGTATGGTAGAGTTGAGAGAGAGATGCGAGATGGAAGATCATCCCTTTTCAAAAGTATTTATTATGTCATATAGGTTTCATAAATAGATTGCTTTTCTAACTGCTAATGGTTAGTATGATATGTAAATATAACCTTTAGGCCAACATTATAGATTGTAATTTTCTGATCTAGTAATTTAAATCTGTATAGCCTACTACTTTTGAGTCTGATCTAAATTGCTTCTATATTATTCTGATCTAAATTGCTTCTATTTGATATTATGCATGTACTTCATTACTATAAAATGAAAATATGTTGTGGCCTACAACGTTCGAGTCCTCGAGTCCTGATTAAATTCAATCTATGATGATATGATCTAGTCAGATTAGATCAATTTAATCCAAATTAAACTAATAAGATATTGTCTAGTTCAGTATGATCCTTTCTTGTACAGTCTGAAATGGTTGGATATGTTATTATGTGATCTATTCATTAATTAATATCTTACCTATTGCTTAGGTAGTTTTTATAATATAATAAAAAGATAAACACTTATAACTTAAATTTTATATGACCATTTCAATTGCTTTTCCATCATTTATCTTTGGAAAGAACATATGTACTTAGAAGGGCAATAAGAATCATACCTTCCACATTCATCTGCCATCATACCCTAAATTTCTGGGCTTGGATCATCAAAAGACCTCTCTGTTCTTAAAGGGGGCGGGAGACTGCACCACCAGAAGAAAAACCAGATAATGACTGAAGCTCTGTTATGAGAGAGCGAATGACTGATTTAGGAAGTACCGTCCTTTCATGCCAAACCATCAACACCTGTTTGATGAAGATAGCAAAATATCAGGTCTATATCTAAGCGAATTCAGAAAAATGGAAAGACGAAAAAAGAGCTCAAAAAACCATTACTTTCAAGCACTGCCTCCGGTTCTAACATATGTGGTAGTACAAAAAACAATTACTTTCAAACAATATAGCTTTCAATATTTATTTTTGTGTGTAGTGGGCGTATTCACAATGGCATGGAGTATGTTTAAGATGACAATGTACGAAATAGATTTTGAATAAACTTACCGTAGTATATAACCCACCTTAGTGGCAATCCCAGATTTAGCACAGTCCATAGAAACATGTGTTACTACCAATGCTTTTCTTAGTCCGAGTTAGTGCTATTAAAATATATTCAAAATAAGCCAGAGCAGCAATCACTTCTCTTTTGCTGCCCATTTTGTATGCAGCCTTTGGTTTATCAAGGACAAAATCATCTGGTTTAGAAATATTGCATTTTGAAGTATTATGAGGAGATGACCGTTCATTCTAATCCAACCCCTCAGTAAGAAATGATGATGTCAAGGTAATTGGGACAGGCTTTTCACCAAATTGTTCATCAGATATAGAGCTTGAACAGACAGATGCAGTTCTTGCAATGAAGAACTCGTTATCTTTTCAATTGGGGATACAACCATTTGAATCCTTCAGCGTCAATCTGCAGCCCGTTTAAGCCTTGGATCTGAGAAACAATGCAAGGGACAACAGGAACAATAGCAATAATAATAAGGCAGGTTGGTGTGAAACAGGGAAACAAAAAGTGTCAATCAAAGAAATAGGAAATTGTATACGAGAAACAATGGTTGCCCACAAATAATAAAAAATACTATCACTTAGATAAAATGATAAGCAGCATAACTTACATTTCATCACTTTACATTTCATCGTCTTGCTTAGTCCATATTTCTTGTATGAATATGTAATTGTGTATCATAATGATCAAATATGAACCCTGTGGTACACTCCAGATCCAAACACATGACATAAGGCATCGTTTCATCAAATGACTGTAGACACAAGCTGGCTGTTTCGCTGCATTTAACCTCCAAAGTATGCATATGAGCAATATCATCTGTTCAGGAGGAACTTATGGCCATCTTACCCTCTACAAAAAAACTGAGCAATTTGCTGAGTTCCACATGAGGGGATCACCAGAAGGGTTTGGCAAATCAGAAGCATCTAATCCATGGTTGTCATTGACAGCAACGATAGAAGTTGATGAATTATACCTGAGGTTTTGATGATCCGAGCTACGTGTCCATAAGGTGCTTCAACTTTGGCTTACAAATCCTTAACATTAGGTGGCTTAATATCAGGGACGTCCACTGATATAGCAGTTCCTGTAATGAGCTGACTTGAATAATTTTCTATAGCAGCATTTCTCAAAAGTTTCTCCATTCTCTCCCTCCCAGATTAATTATCTACTTCACGACTGTCTAATGACCCATTGTAATTACCAGCAGAAGAGCATCCACCAATTGAATCATATATTTTCGACAGTCCCCCAAAATCCCTTTGATTCTCTTCAGAAGTGTTAGCTGACATGGCCTGTAAAGCACGGTGAAGACGTCTAGATTGGGGCAAAGCAGATTCACCAGCATGTTAAGCGCCAAATTCTCTACTGCATAACTATTCCACTTTCATAGAGCATTTATTCAATGGAGAGGAGTATCGAGCAATAGCACTATCTCCTTCATTCAGCAACCCAGTAAACTGTTCTGTGGGGCTATTACAAAACTTTGTCCTTCCTCTACTGAAAAAACAAGTTCCTCCAACGCATGAGATGACCTACCCATGTGAATTCTTGCTCTTTTGAGAAGTGGCAAGTGTTCATCACCATCTTCAATTGTAATGGAATTTACACCACATAAATTGCCTAGTTGTCAAGTAGCAATAAGAAATACTTGAACATAACCTGTTAAAAAATATAGCATATGAATTACTAATTGATTATATTAATAGAGAATATGAGTTTACAGTAGGCCTGGGATCAGTTCAGTTCTAGTTAAAAATTGATAGAACTTTTTTAAAAATTGTAGTTGTTAAATTCAGTTTGGTTCTAGAAAAATGTACTACATAGTTGTTAAATTCAATTTAAATATGTATTACTACTTGATTGTTTTGGAAATCTACCGTTTAAGTGTAGGGTCTGCTCAAAGAAGAATGTTGTTGCTTACAATTGAATTGAATCAAAGGAAGAAATTGCAATAAAGTATAAATAAGCTTAGAGTGGAAAAATAAAAAACAACTCCCTAAATTCCGGCCAATCAGTGAGTTAAATCCTAAAACCAAAAAACATATCATACTACCAGAGAAAAATTACAAAACAAGGCCTGATAAGAAATAGGCCGGGAGAACCTGAATGTGTTGAATAAAACACATGAGCACTTCCACGGTTTAGATTTTCAATATCAAAGATTGGAAAACTCGATGTAATCGACGAGAGAAGTTTAGATGAAGAAACTGAATGGCACTAGCAGTAGCCGCGGTGAGTTGATTGTTTGTTTAGGAAGCAGTTGTGTTGTTTGAATTAGGTTTACATGTTAAGAAGTTCAAGGGTTAATAGTCAATGTGGGCTGGTCCAAGGTATATGAGGAATGATCTTGTCCAGTGTCCAAGCTTCAGATAGGATAAATAGGTTATCCAGAACATGGCCCTTGATTTATGGGGCCTCGTATTTTTAAGAATTTATTAGTATTATATAGGGAAAATTCCCGAAATAAGAGCAAAGAAGTTTGAAACTTCCAAAATAGGATTGCCGTGTTTTTATTCCCAAAATAAGAGTAATTACTGCCAAGTTTGCAAAATAATGCCATGTTTAAAGTCTAGTACTGCCATAACATGGCAGTGCTTAGTCCTATTTTGAGAATAAAAACATGAAAGTCCTATTTTGGAATATAGGAACGTTTTTAGTCCTATTTTGAGTAATTTCTCTATTATATACTATATAGTAATATTATGGATTAATATATTATACTCATCAGTAAAATACAATTAGTAAGGAAGAAAAATATAGATTCAACATTTTTTCGTTGGTCCTTTTAGTTCTCTTGTATTCAAATTGCTTGAATAAAGAGTTGTTTTACTTTAAATCAAGTATTAAGTAAGTTTTAGAAAAAAAATCTTACATTATTTGATATGTATTTAATTGATTCGAGTAAAAGGGTTTGGATTGAGATTATTTTATTTTTTATATTTATGTGGGGCCTCAATTTTATATTTGGAACCGGGGCCTCCAAATTTATTAAACGACCCTGATCCTCCGTCCGGCCGCCTCTATTTTAGGTGCTTCACGGTGGAATTTTTTTATGAAATTTAGTGAGCATGTTCTTGATGAAGTGTAGATTATGAACATAAAATTTCAACTTAAAAGTCATTCGGCAAGTCAGTTAAATAAATTATTGAAAAACAGTGTGCCAAAATATACATAGAAAACGCACTATTTTTCAATAATTTTTTAATTGACTTCCCAATTGAATTTAAAGCTGAAATTGTGGAAAAATTCTACACTTCCTTGCGAACATGCTCACTGAATTTCATGAAAAAAAAATCACCAGGAATCATCTCAGGAAGCAAAAAAATCATAAAGGATAAAACTAACTTGTAGAGATAAATAAAGAAACAAAAAAGAAGAAAGAAGGAAAGCACAAAAAACAAAAAAGGGAAAAAGACGTGGAGAAAGAATAGGCGAATCTTGGGGGCAACAACGAGCCATTTGGCGTTTTTCTTTAGGTTTTCCACGGGTTTGATTTGGTCATTTAAGTTAGTAAGAAAAGGGAAGGGGTTGTCAAAATCGAATTGGCAAAAAAATCAAAGTTTGCCTGGACGGCATTCAAGTGATGCGAATCAATTAGCCCTTGCGAGGTTGGTACAGCGGTAAGGCATGGCGTTGCGCCAAGTTGCAGTATACTTTTTGTTTGGGTGATAAGTTGCAGTAAACTTAAATGCTTTGATATAATAAAAGCAATTTATCATAGATTAAATTAAACTGTGTACTTTTTGGAGGGTGCAAAACAACCACATTATAATTTTTTTTTAAACTCGTGCCAAGCCCACATGCAGGACGTATCCACCACGGGGCAGAGACCCCAAGTGGATTTTATGAGCAGGACGTTAAACGATAAGAAGGTATAACTTTCGACACGCGTTGAGGCAAACAAAATGTTCTGAGTTTAGGAATACAGCAAAATCCCATAGAAAGACAAATATTTGACCATGTTCCGAATGAAACAATGTAAAGGTTTGAAAATATGAAACAGCCAGGAAGAGTTGTACTTTCAAGTAAAATGGTTTTAGATATTTTAGGTTAATTTGACTGTTTTAGTCTGAACTCTTTTCTGGTAAAAGTCCATAAAATCATCAAGAGCTAAGTATTTGAAGCAACATAAAGGCATCAAAATAGCTAGAAAAAGAATATTATGATTTATTTTTTTTAAACTCGTGCCAAGCCCACATGCAGGACGTATCCACCATGGGGCAGAGGCTCCAAGTGGATTTTATGAACGGGACATTAAACGATAAGAAGGTGCTCTGTATAATTTTCGACGCGTGCTTAGGAAAACAAAATGTTGTGAGTTTAGGATTACGGCAAAATCCCATAGAAAGACAAAAATTTGACCGTGCTCCGAATGAAACAACTTAGAGGTTTGAAAATATGAAACAGCCCAGAAGGGTTGTACTCTCTAGTAAAATGGTTTTAGGTTAATTTGAATGGTTTATTCTCAACTGTTTTCTGGTAAGAGTTCATAAAATCATCAAGAGCTAAAAATGTGAAGCAACGTAAAGGAATTAAAATAGCTAAGAAAAAGAATACGTAAGAACTAGAAGATAGGGGTGCTGGGGGTAATTAATCTTCGGCCTGTACTTGGTAACATACAGAGTGCGTGAGAAGTGTGGAACTCAATTAAAAAAACAGTTTATTGGAAAAGTACAATTGAGAATTGTGGACAAACTTATGAACAACTAAGAGATCCATTTGAAGAATAGTTGAAGGTGAAATATACATTTCCTGTGAACTTACATGTATGCCGCCTGTGGTTGGGCCGGCCGGATGCATGCTGATGAGTTTCATGTGAATCGGGAAGGTTCCGAAAACTACCGGACGAAGTGATTGACGGTGATAAGCCTCCGTGGTGATGGTGGCGTTCGGCGATAACATACCGTGGGAAATTGGGGATCGATGGTCAAGATCCACCCAACTGAAAGAACGCAGGGTGGAGGCGGTGAGGGTTTTCCTGAACTTAATTCGCCCTTTACCCAATTGAGCAACTTTACCGGCTTAGACCCCCAATTTATTTCCAAGTCCCTCTCTCTTTCGTACAAGTACGCCCTTTACCCAATTGAGCAAGTATGGGCCCTCCTGCCCTTTAAAACTCTCTTCTGACCATTTTTACTTCAGTAATAAAAAAGTGAAAGTACACTGCCCCTATATCTTACCGTACTAGTATATCTTGCTCCGTATCTTATACAAATGCATCCCACCCGTCCGCCCGCTCAAAATGCATCTCAGCCATTTCTTTTTGCTTTTGTTTCTTTAATTTCATTCTTTAACTTTCTTCCATTCTTCTCTCTTTCCATCAAATTAAATACTAAATATTTAATTGTATTTTTTATCTTCAACTTAAATTATAATTGAATATATTTCTTTATTCTTTATAAATATATAACAACAAATTTATCAACTTAAATAAATGTAATATATTTTTATATACACTTTTTCTATAATATTTTTTTCTCTTTTCTATGTTTTAGAGGGTCTTGAGACATCGAGATTGCTTATTTTGATTCTTGGAGTTACATTTGATAATATATGAAGTCATATTTTCTTATGCGAATCACATCTTATTATGTACTGGTATGAGTTACATGTTATTATGTGTGTGTTACATCTACTTATGCGTGAGTTACATCTAATTATGCGTGACTTACATCTAATAATTTGTTATTTTTTACTTATCTTTATATTTAACTAATTAAATTACAATTGAATTAACTTCTTTCTTAACTAATTTATTACAAAAAAATTACTAACCCATATACAAGTAAAATTTTGTATTTCATAATCATACACTTCTTACACTCATTTCGTTATTCAATTCATATCTTTTGCGGCACACATCAAACCCTAGGCTAAACCAGAGAGAGATCCCGTTCGGCACACCTCGAGTGGGACTTAGTCATCACTTGGAAGATAGTCACTAACCTCAGTGATGGATGGCTTAGCAGGTCCCAGTACCGATCGGGATTTGTACAAGTGGCAGGCTACATTTAATGCTAAGGTATGGGGGTCTCAAGTGATAGCAGTGGTGCACAAGTGGTGGCATGGAAAGCAATCGATCAGATTCGATCCACTCTATGCAGTTCGGTGGTCTAATAAGAATGAATGGAGTGCATAGAAAATACAATAACTAAGAATAATGAAAACATCTTCTGTGTCTTCTTAGATGGACTTATGTTCACACCCCACACTTTTCCTGGGATATAGTGAAACTCCATGTTTTCACTCTTTAGTAATAATAAAGTTATAGACATAGTGGTTTAATTTGGACATTATCGACGCTTTTGATGGTTTTATTATGTAACATGATGTTGGATTCTCGGCTAAGGTTCATTTTATGTTCAAATTTCGAATTCCTTGCTCCGTATATTCATGGGTTCAAGTTCTGAGCATTGTGTAGTCGGATGCGTGCGTACACGCACAATAATGACCACAGTTTTGTGTCATCTACTAATCTTTTGGGATTTCCTAAAATCTCAGCTTTTCTTTTGCAGGGATGGATTTTATTATTTTTTGTTCCAATCGCTAATTTGTTCACATCCACGCCGAAAGGATTTTTCCTCTGGGTCCTGATTGAGAAGCTAAACTAAGGTAAGGTAAGGTAAGGTAAGGTAATTTTTGATACATTGATATTTTGGGCTCTATTTGTTTCATTTTTTATTTGAGAAGGAAATGAAAGTAAACATTGTTAATGTGATATAAGTGATCAGAATGGAATCACATATGCTATGAGCGAGCTTTAATGGCCAGCATAACATGAATGCATTTTTATGTTTTCTGCCTGTTGCATGTACATCAGTTTCATGGAACATGGTGCTTCTACCAAAGTATAGACCACTGAATAGTGAAACTGAATTTGAAAATTGCATGTTACAGTAACTATAAAATGCTCAAAGCCTTTGATATAGTACAATGTATTCAAGAAAATGATGAAACAACCTGGAGGCACCTTACAATCAAAGAGAGTGTTATCATAAGTACAGGGCATAATGGTGTTTCCTTCACCCCCACTCCCCTCTTTTTTCCAATTAGTTTTTCCTTCTCAGTAGACACTATTTATGTTGAGTACAGAGAATAGAGAACTGCCTCATGTGTGAAAGTAAATGAGTATACATCCTAACAACACTAGTAAAAATTTGTTAAACTGCGTCACGTCATTCGAGGCGCTTACAAAACAAGCGCCTTTAAAATATACGACGTGCGGCGCTTTTCTCTCTAAGCGTCTCTAATATGTATTTATTTTTTTAATTATTTAATGTTTCGGGTCTTTACGGCGCTTATATATAAAAGCGCCGCAGACCGACGCCAAATTTTTATTCATAAATAGACTAATTTTTTAAAAAATCGGATTTTAAAAAGAGGCGTGCGGCGCCTATATGATAAAAGCGCCGCATAAACTTTGGTAGAAGCACCATGTCCGGTCGCTAGCAGTAGAGGAATCGATTCAGTTTGGATAAACCCTAAGGCCGGCCGCGCCGTCGCACCTAGTCCGTGACCCAGCCGTCGCACCTCCGCCGTCGCACCTCCGCCGCTCCTCCGCTCAACCGACAACGCTCCTCTGCTCACCTTCATTGCCATCGAAGCCGTCGAGGGTCGTCCGCCACTCACTCCAGCCGCGCGCAGTCGTCGAGGGTTGTCCGTGTCAATGCGCGACGAGCTCCGGTCGTCCGCCGCTCACTCCAGTCGCGCGCAGCCGTCGAGGGTCGTCCGCGTCAAGTGTGCTTCGAGCTCCGGTCCTCCGGTCCGCTTGCCACCGTCGAGCTCCGGTCCGCTTACTCCAGCCATCGGTCTCCCATTTCACAGCAGGTATGTATATTTTTTAATAATAAATTTTTTCAAAATTTTTTATTTTAATTAATTTTGAGTAATATAATTTTGGAATAGTTGTAAAGAGAAGCAAAATACTTCCAAGAGGTGGTTTTATATTAGCATAACCCTCAATTGCAATCTTACATAAAAAGTGTGCTTAAAAAGAAAAAAGTATGCAATAATTTATTATTATTATTATATTTTTAGATAAAGTTTAGTGTTGTTAATCATGGATCGTATCTGGATGTATGGTTTGCGAAATACTTCTCAATTTTTCAATGGTGTTCATGAGTTTGTGAAAGTGGTTGTTGCGCATCAGAAGCAACAAGGACAGAAAGGAATTTTATGTCCTTTTTCAATGTGCCGTAACATTAAAAGAGAGAATGACGTGAACATAGTTCTTCAGCGTTTATTTGAGAAGGGTTTTAGAGAACTATATGACATGGACATTCCATGGTGAGAATCGTGTGGACGTCGAAGACCTTTTTTCTGGAGCAACTTCTAGTCATCTAAAGCGTAAAGCTACTCATATTACTACTACTTCAAATGATATTGATGATGGTGTTGCGGATGATGATGTCAATGAAGATAGAATTGATGAACTCTTGAATGATGTTCATGATAATTTTGATTATCAACCAAAATCTTATGAGAATTTGATTGAGGCCGCCAATATACCGCTATTCACGGGTTCTGAATTCTCCAAACTATCTGCTGTTCTCAAATTATTTCACTTGAAAGCTAAACATGGATGGAGTAATGTTAGTTTCATTGAGTTGCTGATATTGCTTCAAGAAATGCTTCCAGAAGGAAATACACTTCCCGATACGAGCTATAAGGCTAGAAAGTTGTTGTGTCCAATGGGAACAGAATGGGAGAAGATTCATGCATGCCCAACCGATTGCATACTGTACCGCAGTGAATATGAAAACCTAAATGAATGTCCAAAGTGTCACGCTTCACGTTATAAGAAGAAGAAGGGTATTAATGTTGGGTTTGATGCTGAATACACCAAAACACCTGCCAAAGTGTTGTGGTATCTTCCTATCATTCCTAGATTTAAAAGATTATTCATGAATGAGAAAGATGCAAAAAACTTAGTGTGGCACGCTCAAGGCAGGAAAAAAGATGAGTACTTGCGACATGTATCTGATGCACCACAGTGGAGGCAAATTGATTTGAAATATCCTGATTTTGGCAAAGAAGACAGGAATTTGAGACTTGGATTATGCACTGATGGTATGAATCCATATGGCACATTGAGTAGTCAACATAGTACTTGGCCATTTTTATTGGTTATTTATAATTTGCCTTCATGGTTGTGCATGAAGAGGAAGTACATAATGTTGTCTCTGCTTATCTCGGGACCACAACAACCCGGTAATGATATTGATGTGTACCTCGCACCATTAGTTGATGATCTTAAACTTATGTGGAATGAGGGTGTTACAGCATATGACATGCACACAAAAACAAATTTTAATTTGCGTGCTTTGTTGTATTGCACTATTAATGACTTTCCACTGGCATGCATGACAGAAATGCAACAATCGATTACAATGAAGACGATCTTTCATTTGTTGGAAATCATAACGATGGCATAGAAATTTTCTTCAAAAAGTCAAAGTGATATCATGAGTGATTTGTAAGTAATCTTAACGTTATTGTGTTTTTTTTCTTGAATTAAAATTCATTTTTCTTTCATATATTATTTGTGCTTCTAATAATAACACTGTTGCAGGAGCTACACACTATGAGTGATAGTGATGGAGATGACTTTATTCTCGATGAGGAACCTCATGTTACGGCGGAGGAACATAGTAGCAGTGGGCGCAGAACTAGCGACGGGGGAAAAATAGTTGATTTTGATAAAAATGGTTAGCCAGTTGGTGCATGGACGAAGAAGTTCAAATCTTTTGTGGGCAAGATAGTACGTGCTCGGGTAAACATCAACATTGAAAGTTGGAAACAAGTCCCCGAATCCCTAAAATTGCAGATGTGGAAAGAGATCCATGTATGTACACTTAATTATATATTTTAACTTTATTAATAATAAGAAAAGATTACAAGTCCTAATGCATATATTAAATCGCCACTATGTAGGATGAGTATTTTGTTGATGACACCATGTACAAGTTGACCATGAAAAAGATGGGAAAGTTACATCGGGACTTTAGAAACCGAATGAGGACTGGCTTTTTTTATAAGACACGACCAGTTGGACAGGATAGTGGTGAAGCTT